AGACGCTTTTCTCAACACTAGGACAAAATACCTGGCAAGAAGCAACTGAAGGAAGGAAGGGTTTTGCTGTTCTGATTGTCCTCTTGTTCTGTGCTTTTGGTATTTCCCTTAGAGGCAGGAAGGAAAGGTGGTAGGGGCGGTTGTGGCTGCCGCGGCAGAAGCATAGGGCTGCTTGCTCATGTCTGGGCAGAACAGGAAGCAGATGAGACAGAAAGAAGGACTTGAGGCCTATCCCCTACCAACCTACTTACTCCAACTAGGCCCTGCCTCCCAAAGGGTCCACAGCCTCTCAGAACAGCGCCACCAGCTGCAGATCAAGTGTTCAAACATGGGAGCCGTAGGGGCATTTTACATTCAACCTTAACAGTTGCCCTAAACGAGCAGGTGTGCAGTCTTCTGCCTGGGCATCGGTGGGACCTTGTATGGGGCCAGGAGAATAAAGCTGGAGGAAATGACAACCAATGTGTGTCTACCCTTCTCTCGGGCATTCTTCCTGGTCCCTGCCCTACCAGGAAATCCTTTCCCAGCCCCTTCCCAAGGAGTCTTAGTCCTGCTCTAAAGGCCAAGAGTCAACCAACAGGCTATTTATATACAGTCTGAAAGCAGAGAAGGGCAGGCAGAGGGCAAGAGGGCAGGCACTGTCCCTGGCGCCTGGAGACATCAGGCCCTCTACCTGCCTTGCACTACTCCAGCGACACAGAAGACAGAAAGCTGGGCCCTAACAGCCCCTTGGCAGTTTGCCTTCAAGTCAGCCTTGAACTTCACCTGTAAGATATGATGGGCCAGAAAAGGCCTCGGGCTGCCCCCAAACCACTTCCCGGGAAAGCTGCTTGCTTAGAAGCCTTTGCAAAGCAAAGAACTGGAAAGGGACTGCAGCTGGTGATGAGCTCCCTGACAAAGGGTGAGTGAGCCAGAAAAGAGAGTTCTCAGGTCATTGCTGGGGGACTGGCCTGAAGCTGGACATAAGGTGGACTCACCAAAAATGGCCCATAAGCCCTGCCTCTCCCCACATGGGGACTGTCAATGAGACAGACGCCTGGAGGATCCTCCCCACACAGTGCTCTTCAGAGTCTCACTCTCCTGGCAACCCGTACACACACACACACACACACACACACACACACACACACACACACACACCCCAACATCAGCACTCCCAACAGGGAGCCCCAGCATCCACTCTACTTTGTCTCTGGTCAGTTAATTATTAGACGTGGAGTGGTGTGAAAACATGGTACCCTCAGATTCTGCAGACCCCAATGGTGGCACAATACCCATATGTTTTTCCACAACCTAGAAACCCATTTTATTATCATCATCATCACACAGTCATGGTCCATTGGTTGACCACACAGATGACTGGCATTCCAGTCAGAGGCAGTAAATGTTGGGCCCCAGGGATGCTCACAAGAACACAAGCAGGCAAAGTTAGGAAGGAGGAGCCGTGAGCAGTGATAGTAGTGGATCTGTGTGCAGAGAGGCTTCAGAAATCAAACGGCAAGACAGCTGTCACTGCCGTGATGGAGACAGATTTCCTGGGGGGAGGGGGAGGCGGGGAAGCTGGAGCAAAACCAGTGGAGAGGTCGTTACTATGAGAGAAGAATACACAGCAAAGGCTTAAATAAGTGAGTTTTTAGTGCGGTCTGAACTTCCTGTCTCTGTATCCCTAAAAAGACAACTATCCTCTCTACTCTTCAACAGTCCTGTTTATAAATGGCGTTCACTGGAAGGATACAGGGAGGAAGAATAAGACCTCCGAAGGACTGGCATGCAGCAGGTAAACAAAGGCACAGAGGCTGAAATGAAGGCCCTGCATAGAGAGAATCAGGGACGAGAAGATGAGAAAAGCTGTGACTGGCCCAGAAGCACGGTGCTCTCAGGTGGGATAAGACTGTGACTGGAAGTAGTCCCTTCTGCGGCCCTGTCTCGAAGGGAGCTGCAGGCACAGTGGTGGTGCTCTGCCAAACAGGCTGTCACTTTGGCCCTGTCAGGGACTTTCTTCTCATTGGCTTTGACTCTGACAGGAAAATCAGTGGGCCGGCGGTACAAGCCAGGCAGCGCAACAGACAAGGCCCTGGGGACAGTTTAAGTGGACAATAATTGCAGGTTATTATATACCGTGCTGCGGCCAAAAGCCAGGCGGCTGTTAAGTGTGATTGGAAGAACTAATGGGGAGGAAGAGGAAGAATGGACCAGCCGGGTTGGTCTCTGTGTTCTCAGAGCTGCTCTGGGGCCAGGATCAGGGAAGGGCAAGGGACAGGTTGGTGACTGAGGAGTATGTTTTCTACACAATACCTAGGGACAAGTTCCTTCTCTCCCTCCCTCGTCCCACAAGCTGTCAGATCTTCAAGGATGAAGAACACAAAATAAACAACTGGGCTCCAAGGAGGGGGAGTGGCGACCTAGGAGCCCACCATGAGTTCTTTAGAACCCAGGCATCCACTTTGTTGTTTGTTGGTGAGACAAAGAGGTTCACTTTTCCCAGGAGGGTATGGCCTGGCTGGGCAGCTGTGAAGCAGAGCAGGGACCCTCTTATAATTGGGAGCAGTCATATAGTTTCAGGGGGTAAGACCTCAGCATCCCCACCAGGTCAGCCTAGGTCCTAGGGGCAGGGATTACAATGGATTATCTCTCAGAACCTTGTATTTTCCATAGATACCTCTCTGGGACAGAAGGACCGTGTGCCCATTTGGAGATAAATGTCCGTGTGTTTGTCACTTTTCTCATCACTGTGACAGAATACCTGAAAGCATAAACTCGGGGAGGAAAGGCTGAGGTATTAGAGACTGAAGTCCAGAATGGCTCCCAGAGCACGATGGGAAGAATGTGAGACAGCCTCCATCATCCAAGGAACAGTGATCCCAGCAAGAACTGTGGGTTGGCACAACCCTCAAGGTTCTGCCCCGGTACCCTACTACCAGCAACCAAGACTGATTTCCTAAAGGCTTCATAGCCTTCAAAGTGGCCCACATGCTAACATGATCAAGCCAGTATAGGAAAGCTCGATTTCAACTATGACAGAACAGAAACAAAAGCAGCTTCCTGATTCATGCACAGCTGTGGTGGTCGCATGGTCATTGCTGCTCCAGGGGTCTGCAGGCCCTACCCTACATCTGCTACTGGAGACCTTTGGAGAAGTGAGCCTTACTCTGCTCTTTACCACCAGACTGGGGGAATTTAGGACTTAACCCCCAATACCTGGGGTTTCCTTAGTACCCAGGAGAAAGATGCCAGAGGACCAAGTAACCCCAAGATCAGACACTTCTCTTGGTGGACATGTGGATGACTCTCCTCTCAGCTCCTCCAAACCTCATCCCAGAAGCACGAAGACTGAAGATTCCCAGACAAAATGATGCCTTTTTTTAATTCACAGAGATATTGATAAAGGCCAATAAGGAGCTCTAATCTGGTCAGTGGGGACCAGACGCACTTTCAGGAGTACCTTATAAAAGGCTCAGAGCCACCATTCAGTGTGAGAATCCAAGCCTTCTGCCAGGATGGACTCAATCTAACCAGGTCCCCCAGCCCCAGTTTGGATTCATTATGGCTCAGTAGTCCTGCTTTGGGACACAGGAGAGCAGCCACCTGGCTCAAAGGGATCAATTACACTGTGACTCAGCCTGAGGGCACAAGGCCAGCAAATGAATCACACAACTTGCCCACCCTCCAGAGGTAGGGAGGGAAGTTGGCCTGGGCAAAAGTCTCCCTACCTTGTATGCAGGTGTCAGACAGGGAACCTCTGAAAGATGGAGGTGTTACGTGTATGCACAAGGGTAAACCCTTGTCTGGTCTGAACGCAGGGGTGAATCTCTAAGCTATGGTAATACAAACCCCAGGGATGAGGACTTGCCCTGGTTCCCTCCTTTGCATCCCCTCATATCTAACTAGAGACTCCCTCCTCTTGCCCCTGGGTGGAAGCAGGGACACTGGGCTGCCACTAAGTATCCTTATCATCACCCAGTAACACTGAGATTTCTCCAAAGAAGTCCTGAGTAACCCTTCTTATGAAATCTCGCATGTACCCTTGAACGATTCTCAGTGGGTGCTCTGCACCAGCTCATAGCTAGAATGGAAACACTTGATTTGGCTGTAAGCATAGGTAATACGTGTTAGGTACCTGATTTGTGGCAAATAATTGTTCCTCTAATGTTTCCACAATCATAGGAAATACTCCTATGTTTTAGATGAGGAAACTGGCGCTCTGAGAATATAATTTACCAAACTGTCTGCTCTCTCTCTCTCTCTCTCTCTCTCTCTCTCTCTCTCTCTCTCTCTCTCTCTCTCTCTCTCATTTGTGTGTGTGTGTGTGTGTGTGTGTGTGTGTGTGTGTGTGTGTGTGTGTGTAGCTGTGCAGGCATGCATGTATGTTTGCCAAGGCCAAGGCCAAAAGAGGGCACTGGATCCCCTGGAGTTAGAGTTAGGGAGATTGTGAAACCCCCAAAATGGGAGCTGGGAACTGAACTCCCATTCTCTGAAAGAGCAGCAAGTTCCCCTATCAATTGAGCCATCTCTCCAGCCCCAGTATCTTTTAATTTTTATTTTTATTTTTATTTTTGAGGCAGGGTTCTCTCATTGAACCTGGAGACCACCAATTCACCTAGACTGACTGCCCAACAAACCCAAAGATCCACCTCTTCCACCTCCAAGGGCTGGAATTAGAGGCATGCACTCCTGCACCAGGCTGTTAAGCTGAGGGCTGGGAAACAGAACTCAGGTCCTCAGGCTTACACTGCAGACATTACCTACTGAGCCATGTCTCCGACACAGGCTGTCACTCTTCCTAAGTAAAAGACACGGACCTATCGGTGTGCATATTCAGCACAGGAATATATGCTTCATATAGAGGTTTTTAAGCAGTAAATGTCCAGCTGTATTTATAGAGTATATTTCTTTCAAATGTGCTCTCTGAGACAAACTTATATTACTGTGTCCATTGAACAAGGGACAAGAATTTGTACACACAACTCTGAGTGGACACTTGAAAGGATATGGAAACTTACTCAAAGAAGGCTGCAACCAGGTGAGTGTTGAGGGGAATGTGGTGTCCTTGAAACTGAGGTTTCTTCTTTGAAATGTTTCTAATAGCAGCAGACTCGTATCCTCTGAAAGTGGAAATGACCCGGAAGGGATGAACCCTACAGTGTGAACCACCCCTTCTGCACATCATAAACTACTGAAGTCTTCTTTGGTCTGGTATCATTGATTATACTTCTCTGCATTATCCTTAGAAAATAAGGTCACAGTCATGGTGTCTAAATCCTACTCTTTCCTAGGGGACAGCCTTGCTCCATAGCTTGCATGTTCAACCCCACACATATACACACAACTTGGAACATAACCCTGCTTCTGTCTATAGCCCAGACCCTGACTGCCCATGTGTGCATTATCCTCCTCTTCAACGTCTGCTGCCTCTCCCCAGACCACATAGCTATAGGCCCTTTGTCTAGCTCTACCAAGGGTGTTCAACCTGTATGTAATCTGCAGGCCCTTTGCAGCAGAAGATAGCTATTAGGTAGCCTGACGCAAAATCATAAACTTCCTTTTAAAAGAATTATGCAATTACTTCCTATTTTTTAACTCCGTTGCATGATTCTTGAGTGTGAACATTGTAGGTAACAGTACTGTGTTGTGCTGTCAGAACACTGGGCATGTCTACAGCAATACCAGTTCCATCATGCATGGTCAGGAGCATTCTACCAAAGTGGGCAAGTTGAGGGCCCACATAATCATTCTTAGACACCTTCCCTGATAACATCTCACGTTTCCGAGCCCCATCCAGTGTCCCCCTAGGTCATCTACCTCACTCTTTACTTGCACAGCCTGACAGTGTTGAATCTCATAACCCCTGTGCTCAGTGAAAGACCATACACTACAGAAGCCTTGTGGCCATGGGAAAAGTTAGGATGAGAAATCCCAGGTAGGACCTGCTGATTCAAGAGTATTATTGAAGAAACCATGGCCACGCTACAGGGACATGTATCCACAGCATTTTGTGTGATAAATGTAACCTACTATTCCAGTTTCCAAGTGAGCTAGTGTCTGCAAACCTCAGGGCTCATGTACAATAAATTAACATAATTAAAAACTAATTAGTAAAACATCACAATTAAAAAGACTTACTTCTGTAACACCTCTCAGGTAAGAAGAAGGGGCCAGAGGGCTAGCAGCAGGTACACAGGGCAGGACCCCAGAAGACTGAAGCAGGGATACAGCTTTGTGCTGCCTGAATGTTTCCATCCCCAGGGGGTAGTATCTAGGGAAATCAGAGTGCAATGTGTAAGCTCATCCACCTTAAGACTGGGCATCCAGTTCTTGGGCCCAACCCTAGCCCTGCAAGAGCTGGGAGGTACTCAAGCATTCCCTCAGCCCCCAGTGGCCTGTTAGTGATGCTCCAATAATATTGGCTGTCCAGACATTGATCTGAACACTTTACCTGCACTTACTCATTTAATCTTCTCAACGACTCTACGAGCCAGGCTCTATTTCTCTACTGATCTTGCAGCTGTGGAAACTGAGCCACAGAGAGACTAAACAATGTGCCCAAGGTCACACAGTTAATAAGTAGGGGAGGCAGGACTGGCAGGTGGAAACATGTGCTTCTCTAGGTCTGAGCACACTCCTCTTTGAAGAGATGCTCATACCCTAGGGAAAATAGTCAGCTAGTTCCTTGCTCATTGGGACCCAACAATGGAGATCATCAAGTCTACATTCCTCTTTCCAAGGCCTGTCCATACCTCGATCCCTACTTTCTCATCTTAATAATAAATCTTTACATAAAATCCATAAGTCAACCTCAAAGACACATCACTGTCTCATCTCCTTGGATAGGCGAGGAGCCCGAGGGAAAGGAGGCTTGGAGAAATGGTTCTCAACTCCGTTTTACAGGAGGGAAAGTTGAAGTCCAAGAAAGTAGTGACCCAGACTCCTGCTGCTGCAGCTGCCTCTGAGGACATGCTGCGCAGGACGTCTCAGCCAAGACAGGAAATCCCTTTGTTCACATGCTGGTCTTTCATTGGCAGCCTGTCTTCAACAAAACTGAAGGCTTGGGACAGAAACCTATAATAGTTATTGGCCAAGGACACAAGGGCTCCTAGGGGTATAGCTTGTCAGTGGACACAGCTAGGGAGCCCCCAGTGGACCAGGAAAATGTGTCCTTGGGGCTCGGATAGCGAGGAAAACAGCATAGAAGACCCTTGTCTAGCAGCCATGGTACTAGGTAGTGCCCCAGTGATGACTCTATCCTTCTAAGGAGCCCCTGGGTTTCCCAAACACACAATTTCCACCCTCCTATTCTCTCCTTCCCTCCAATAGATTTGGTTCCTGGGCTAGATTCACTATGGGCTCAGAACAGGATAAGGAGGTCTTTCAGTGATGACAAGATGCTGCTAAAATTAACAGAGGTGGTGAGAACTGGTTTTTTTTTCTCTTCCTCACTGGGCTTTATATTACATAGCCTTCCCAAACTATTTAAGGGCACAGGAGCTCTGAGTTTATGGCACAGTTCACAAAAGGCTGCACCCTCCAAATCCCACCCTGCTTCCTCATGCTCTCTCTACAGAGGAGCTTCTGGGAGGCTCTTCTTGTTACCAGGAAAGCCACAGCTGACTGCTCACTCCCAACCATGGGTGACTCCAACCACCGCCTCCAGCCCAGGCTGAGGTATTCCTCCCTCAGGACCACATCATGATGCTCTTCTCCAGGAAGTCTTCTCTGGATTCCATTAAGAATCCACTGTTTCTTTCCTTCTGGTCTAATTCCAGGCCACTGGCCAGCTCTCTGCAGTAGAACACCCTGGCCTCCTGCTTTGCAAGCACCCCTCTCTCCTCAAAGCCACTACCCACCTTGCAGTGAGTTCATCCCCACTTCTCACCCGCGGCTTGCATTGCTTCCTGTTTTCTATTTCCTCCTTGTGGAAATCCTCAAGCCTGGAAGACATTTAACCATCTGTTGCAGTTTGCTGTTCTGGGGCTTTTCACTTGGTGTGACTTTGCTCTCTAACTAGACAGTGAGTTCTTTGCAGACCTGTCCTTTCTCCAACATTTCCAGTGAGTGAGATCAAAAAGCCTGGATAAAATGCAAGAATGGCTGAGTGGTGATGCCCCCAAGCTTAGCCAGGCTGAGTTTCTGTGTGTGTTCTCATGTTTGACCCTGAATCCTTCCCACGGTGTTGACTTAAGGGTACAGCCCCCTATTCCAAGGGAGCAGAAGAATGAACACAGTTAAATTAATTAGTAAGCCCTATCCTGAGCACCTATATGTGAGCATCACTGTGTGGGGGATGACATTGATGGAGAGAGACCATATTCCTGCTCTCCGACCAAATAGAAAAGTAAGCTACAGGCAGAACAGCCAAAGCAGGTCTGACTGTGGTTCAGTGGGTACCAGAAGGAAGGGGGTGGAGGGTGGCTAGAAGCAGGGAAGTGTTACGTGAAAAGAGTGTCCTTTCCCCTTACAGACAGAGAGGAGGAGCAGAGGGAAGTGACCTTATCTACCCTCAAACACCTTTACCACCACAGGGCATCCTGACATCCCCAGAGATGAATCAGCAACAAAGCATTCACTCCAGAACCAGAGAGAAAACAAAAAGCAGATACTCCCAATTCCCTCTTCCCTCTGCTGCTCTCCTCTCTCTCAGCGGATGGAAGAGCTGTGGGCATGAAGTGACACTTGGAGAAAAGGTTTTAAATCTGCTTAAATGACACTGTGAATAATACTCTGTCCCTATCTTTCCCTAATTACATTTCTCTTTGATGATCTGAGGGGGGGGTGAAGAACTTACCCCAAGTCTTCCTAGGATATCAAGGATAAGGGTGCCAAAGAGCCAACCAAACCTCATCCATACATTTTCCCAGGGATCTTACTCTTGCTTCTCTAGTCACTCTTTTGAGACACCTGTCTGCACCTTTTTACCCCCAACATTCTGCTGAGGCTAAGATGTGGAAGTCCAGGAGCTACAGTTTGGCATCTTTAAGACAGCAGTGCCTTGCAGAAGCTGCTTCAACTGCCGTTTATATGTGAGGGGACCTGATGTCCAGGATGTTCCTGAGGGAACCTAGGGTGACTGTCCATACCCCTGTCAGAGAGATGAAGGGTAACAGAGGCCCTCCCCACCGAAGGGCTAAGAGGGAATCCAAGATGTACCACTATCAGGTGGGCTACAGAGGAGGGAGGAAGCCCACCTAAGTAGGAAGGCATTCTTCCCATCCCATATGAAGAGAAACATGAGGAAGCATAGGAATCTGAAATACCAGGTGACCCCTTTCATTAACACCCCAGTTCTTTTATTCACTCCTGCCAAGATACTGCTGCTTGGATTTGCACAGTGGCTATTATTATTATTAATAATAATAATAATAATAATAATAATAGCATAAATCATTAAACATCTGTGAGTGATTTACTTGGACCTGGGGGTTACTGGGATGGTGTCAGGAAAAAGAAGGTGACAGTTTTGGGGTCTTCGTCTGGGCAGTCCCTTCCTTTTCCTCAGCTGGTTTCTTTTACTTCTCGGCTTCATGCCCTCATGGCTTTGTTTTGACAGGATGGGAGGCAGGGACAGGAAAAGGAACCTCAAGTAGAAATTATTTTCATTAACTCTCCTGTTATGGCAGAAAATATAATCCACTTCACAGTGAGATCCTCAGGGCCAACAGCCCTGCAAGATGCTGTTGGGTGGTGAATTTGAATAGTCATTATTTTCTGCTTATGTGCCCTGGGGTGGATACACACACACACACCACACACACCACACACACCACACACACACCAGAGAGACAGAGAGAAGGAGAGAAGGAGAGAGAGAGAGAGAGGAGTATGGGTACAAACAGCACCACCACACAAGCACACAGTACTAACAAGACATTTGCACACACCTGTCACACACTAACAAATCCTCCAGCTTGCTTACCAGGGACATGCCCACCTTATTATAGCTTATCAGAGGCTCACAAAACACACAGCCACAGTAGACCTCCTCTTCAGATGAGTCTCTGCCCCATTCCACCAACTTCAGTGATTCTACACACACACACACACACACACACACACACACACACACACACACACACACACCACACACCACACACCACACAAACACACACACCTCCAAAAAGCAAAGATGGGAAAATCTAAAATGAACAATGCTCCCTGTTCTCAGAATTGTTCTTCCTCTTTGGTTTGGGACCCTAACCTCAGAAAGGAGGGTCTGGAGCTAGCTTGGGCCTTGGGCTGTCAACCTCAGGGCTGAGAGAATCTCTGGGCCCTCTGGCCACATCTGGCTCTGTAGTGTAGAACCTTCTGGTTGTACCAAATGCTTGGCCAAGTTTTCAGGCTGTTAGAGTCTCGTTTCTTTAAATTAAAATTTAAGTACAAAGTCTAGTAATGTAATTCAGGGTTAAGAACAGAGACCCCTGAAAACCGGAAAGTGGCCAGCAGGGGCCCGATTTGGGGGGGGGGGGGGGGGAGGCGGGTAGACCGGGCCCTGCAGCCTGAGGGAGAATGGGCGCGTTATTTTAATTGGCCGGGTTTCTGAAGCCGAGAAAAGCAAGCGTGGGAAAGAATAGGGGTGCAGGTAAACACGCTGAGAATAAAAATCGGCTGCCCCAGCCAAGTTCACCACCACTATTCGCCCCCAGAGGCGGGACAGTTCTTGCGCCTGCCACTCCCTCTCGCGCGCAGCTGAGGCTCTAGCCCCGCTGGCCCTGCGGGAGTCCCGCGCTGTGCGATCCCCGAGACCAGACCCCGCACTCGAGACTCCCCGCTTCGCACCTCTGGATCGGGTGGTGCAGGGCAGCACCAGCCGCTCCAGGCTACCTCCCGCCGAAGCTGGGATGGCGGGAGCGGGGACCGGGCTTCGTTTCTTTGACAGTGGACTAAGAAAATAATTTTCTAATTTGCGTCAGTAAAACAAGAAAGGGAGCAAAAACCAAGCCTCTCCCCCGAGCTGGCTCTCTGGCTCTGCCACCGCACCCAGCGCCTTCCTCGTCCGCCGGGGGCGAGCCGGCCCGGGGGCACCCTGGCTCCTACCTTCCTCCCTCCAGCCACCGGCCGCACTGGCTGCCACTGTCCGGACGGGAGAAGTCGTGTCCGGGACTGAAACATTCCCTCCCGCCTTCTCAGAGGGCTGGGGCGGAGAACCAAGCCGAATTCTACTCCCTGAGCCTCCGGCGCGGCCCCGGCTGCTCTCCTAGCCCCATCCTCCCAGGTGGATCCGGTGGCGGTGGATGCAGAATAGGAAGGAGAAATTTGGGGACTGCTCTGGCAGATTGGGGATGAGAGAAGGGGGAAAGCAGAGACAGAAACAGAGAGCGCGCGAGCTAGAGCTCCTGTCTACAGATTTATCCACATAATATATATTTATGTAGCGCTTTTTTTTTTCTCTCGACACTGATCAGTGCGCACTCAGGTCTCTGGGCGGACTCCCTCCAAGCCGGCTGGCTTTTTCTAGTCTAAATAAATAAATAAGTGGAGCCAGATGGGAGAGAAAAGCGCCCATTCCACCTCCGCCGCCGCCTGCGCCGCCGCCCCGCCCGCCGTCCCTGCCTTCGCTTAGCCCGCCTGTCGCCCTAACAGAGCGCAGCTAAGTGGATAACGCCCCCCTACCTACCCACACGAAAATGAAAATCAATGCTTTGAAAATACAAAAGGTTGCACCTGCTGCTATTACCAAAAAAAATAATAATAATAACCTTCAAAAGGCAAAGAGAAGAGACCAGGAGCCCCGGTGGCTAACAGGCACCCGCTGCCCGCGGCTGCGGGGCCCGGAATCTCAGCGCCTCCCAAAGAGCCATGCGCCTGGCGCTATTTATAGCCGGGGGACGTCTCGGACTGTACCACCGCCGCTCGGCGGGGCCGCCGACGGGGGAGGCGCGCGAGGCCGGCGCCGCCCCGGCCGCCCTGCCCCCGGCCGCCGCCTGCCTCCGTGCGCCCCCCAGCGCGCCCACTCTCGGCCCCCCGCTCTCCCCTCCTCCTACCGCGCGCCCTCGCCGCCCCCACCCCTGGTCTGGCAGGGAACTTGAACCGGTCCAGCCTGTTTAAACCGAAAGGACAGAGATCCTGTCTGTTCAATGTAAAAAAAAAAAAAAAAAAAGAAAAAAGAAAAAAGAAGAAGAAAAAAAATCACACCAGAACGAGAGAGAGAGAGAGAGAGAGAGAGAGAGAGAGAGAGAGAGAGAGAGAGAGCAAGAGAAGAGAGGAGAAAGAGAGAACATAGAACGAGAGCTGAGAGCAGAAAAGAGGTGTAGGAAACCGAGGAGGAGAGAACCCGAGTGTGCGTGTGTGAGTGTGTGTGTGTGTGTGTGCGTGTGAGTGTGTGCGCGTGTGTGTGTGCGCGCGCGTGTGTGTATGTGTGTGTGTGCGCGCGTGTGTGTGTGAGTGTGTGTGTGTGTGCGTGTGTGTGTGTGCGTGTGCGTGTGTGAGCGCGAGCGAGCTAGTGAGGGAGAGGAGCGAGAGAGTGCGAGCGAGAAAGAATAAAAGGAAAGATTTTTCTCTATGTATATAAAGATGGCCACGTTAGCAAACGGACAGGCTGACAACGCGAGCCTCAGTACCAACGGGCTCGGCAGCAGTCCGGGCAGCGCTGGGCACATGAACGGATTAAGCCACAGCCCGGGGAACCCGTCGACCATTCCCATGAAGGACCACGATGCCATCAAGCTGTTCATTGGGCAGATCCCCCGAAACCTGGATGAGAAGGACCTCAAGCCCCTCTTCGAGGAGTTCGGCAAGATCTACGAGCTTACGGTTCTGAAGGACAGGTTCACAGGCATGCACAAAGGTGAGAGCACCTTTCCCTCCCAACTTTGCCGGGGAGCAGGAGCGGGCGGGCAGCAAACTGGCCGGCCAGCGACTGGCAAGCGGGAGACGGGGCGAAAGCGAGCCACGGGCGGGCGCCGAGGAGGGAGGCGCTCCGGCAACGGAGACCGAGCTGGGGTGTGTAGGGAGATGTTCGCCGGGACAAGCCGATGGAAGCGGTGCCGTAGAGAGGGCAGTGGGGACAGGAGATGAGAAGAAAGAAGGAATGGGAGCAAATGGGGCTGGAGGTTTTGGATCTAGAGACTTGAAAGATTGGGATAGGGAGAGCTGCTCCGGGCAAGCCCAGAAAATTGAGCTGACTAGTGGGCGCTCAGCTGGCCCGGGATCTGGGGTGCTGTCCATCGCCGTGGTGCTGAAAACACTACAGGAATTGCCCTCCTCCTCTGTGTGGGCCAAAAGAGCAAGAGTGCGGCCGTCTAAAAGGGAGAGGGGTAACAAATTCAAAGAAATGTTTTTATTTTGCTATCAATTTAACAGTAAACTATCCCTAGCGAGATGTGTACCTCAGTAGTCTGGTTGTGGTGTGACTACTGGGAAGGTGCTGTTTTGGATATTTGGAAGGAGTGATAAAAACCCAAGGCAAGAATTAGCAAGAAAAGAACCATCCCCTGGGTGGAGTGAGGGGTCTAGGAAACCTGAACAATCCCCTTCCCCAGTGAGGCTGAGATTTGGGGAAGAATATGTGCATACAAGAGATGCATTTGGAAAGGTAAACCTTAATGTATCCCAAACTCACCATACAGGGAGCTCCCTAGCATATTATTTCTCCCTAGAAGCAATCACTGCTAGTGAGTGTCTGGGGAAGGTGGGGACAGAATAATCAGAGAATTAAAACCTAACAACTTTTTAGGAAAGTGGTCATGGGATTGTCTGCAGCCTGCCTGTTTTCTCCTTGTTTTATTATCTTCAAGGCAGAGCCCCAAACGAGTTCAGTTGTAGAATGTGTGTGGGTGGCTGGTGGGTGACGAAATTAGCCCAGTGCTCTGCTCCCTAACAGTAATGTATAGGATGTGCACCAGGGATTAATCGGTGCTGGAGCTATGTGGGCAAGTTAAATGCTTTCTGAGAGAGATTGATGGCCAGGCAGGGAAGGAGTACGGGCTAAGGAAGTTGTAGGGATGTATGGACGTTCGGTTTTAATAAACAGCAGTGTGGAGAGCCACGAAAGATGCTGTGTTAGAGCTGGTGGTTTTGAAGATGAAAACGCACACGTACACCCACCCCCACACAGAGAGCAGCCTTGTCTTTGGCCACAAATGGGCTATGAACAGAGCTGATCCTCCGGCACATTAGGTGCAGAGCGCAGAGCTGAGTGGTTCTCTAAGCAGCAGAGCTTCTCACTACCACAACCACCCTCACTCCCCAGCCCTCCCTTCATGCGAATACTAAACAGAGCTCCAAAGTCTTCCTAGTTGGAGTCCCAGAGAGCAGTTTTTATTGGCTTTAGCATCTTCCAGCTTGCCTGCTGAGGAGTAAATCTTAAAGTTAATGGCACATTGAGTAGCACAAAAAAACACAGCAGAGTGGAAATATACTAGATTTGTTGGGGTGGGGTGAGGGTGGGGGCTGTCATGGAGAGAGAAAACAACCTTTATCCAATATGGAGAAAAATGTCTGTTCAGAAAAGAGATTGAAGGGGGGAAGGGGGAAGCAGGCTTCAAAACAATATTTGGAAAAAGAAATACTTTCTTTTCGCCTCCCTCCGGAGGCAACCACGTCTTTGTAGTTTTTCCCTTTCCAATCAAGCTCCCTAGAAGCTAATCAAGGTTTGTATAAAACCTTTGTCATTCTAATAGGTCCTCAGTTTTAAAAATAGTTATAATAGAATTTTAACAGCATGGAGGAGGGAGGCTGCCCATCTTAACAATCAGCTCTTGTAGTAATTTAAGATTTCAAAGTTTTAAAAGATCAGAACCCACTAGAAGCAAAAGACAGTTGTGGGGAGCTGGATGTTCTGTGGGCTCTGCATTGGATCACCTTATCGCTGTTCTGTTTCCAGTGCAGATAAACTTTAACATTATTCCATGCTTTCTTCTCAGCAATCCCTTGCTGATACCACTACTTCATTTCCAGTGTAATTTGAACTCTCTCCTATCATAGTAAAGAATTTCTATCATTTGAATCAGGAAGCTACAGAAGGTTTGGTGCACATGCACACATGTGAATACACATACACACAGAGAGACGTGTGTGTGTGTGTGTGTGTGTGTGTGTGTGTGTGTGTGTGTGTGTGTGTGTGATGTACATGCTTATGCAGGATTCCTAAGATAGGCAAAACTTCATTTCCCAAATAATTCTTGCAAACTGGCTCAGGCTGTGACAGGCAGGACTGCTGGCTCTGGCACACTGGGTGTCATTGTTGCCTCCTGCCTTTCATAATTTGGGCATACATTTTCCCTTAAGTTCCTTCTGATTTTTAAGAGTCAGGGTTGGGCCGCCACATCCCCGACAATACTGAGAAGCCCTCAGAGAGCTGAATAAACGTAAGCATTTCTAAAAGCTGGTTTATTCAGTCCTAGTAGAGTTTGAACTCCTACTTCACTGATGTCTGATTTATTAGCTAACCCTGATAAAATAAGCCTCTGGCCACCTAAAAAAATTACTTGCTTGCCATTGGTGATTAATTACTCTTAACTAAAAAAGCATGATGAGACTTGAAGAATGAAGGCTGCATTTAGCTTCTACATCTTCCCAATCTCTAAACTGACGATGTGAGGCTAGGGATGGAACCATGCCTTTGTTAAGCCTGGTTTCAGGGCATATGAGTGCTCAACTTCTAATGAACTATACTGGGATATAATTGAGAGACCTAACAAGACACTGGCCTCCAGTGTGGGGGCATGTGTACACTATTAGTTCCTAAAAATCGGTAAAAACAAAAAACTAAATGATATGCATGAGGTTTCAGGTGGATATTCATTTCTTGGCCACCTGCCATTTCAGGTGACTATAAAATGGAGGAGTTCCAAGGGTTAATGGAATACCTGCCATGCGTACAGTGCACCTTAAAAGGCAATTACTCCAGCCGAATTGGGAGTCCGTGGAGGAGGGAGTAGGTGGGTGTTGTGGATCATCCCACCCCCCTTTTCCAGAAAAGGCTGTTGAACTGGGAAGCAGCAAATAGCAGCTGTGGAGTGGGATAATTACTGTAAAGGTAAATTTACCCCCTAGAGACCAGGAAGCAGTTGGTGGGAAGGGGTCTGTGTGGAAGGCAGAGAGAGAAAAAAAAAGGCCAAATCAAAATCCAAGAGACAATATGCACAGAACAAAACCCACTGTAATGCAAACTCCCGCTAACTAGAACCTTCTCTTCTCCCCAATTCAAAGCACTTTTGGAAAGACTGTTTTTTCAGACTCCAAAGAGAAAGACATTGTAGTATTGATCAAACAAGAGAGAGACCAATTCCCGGGATAGCAGCAGAAATGAGCCGAGGGCCAATTTCGCCCTGTTTTGTAGAATTTTTCTTCCCTGGAAAAGGGAATAGGTCACCCACTAGTCTACTTCTTTCCTTTCTCATTTTTCTTTTACTTCTCTTCTTTTTGTTTCCTGGAGAATAGAAATGGTGACTGAAGGTACATAAATACACACACATATCCATGCCTGTACACACACACACACACACACACACACACACACACACACACACCACTGCATCACGCATGAATACACCAGAAATCCATTCATAACTTTGGTCATGTCTAGCAAATAGGAGGCAGCAAAGACTGAGTTACTGGGATACATAAAGACTAGTGCTCTCTGGATAGCCATATTATAATGCATTATCTTTGAAGTCATTTGAGTCCAACTTAAGTGGTATTTAGTATAATATTTATGAATTAATGTAATCTAAACATAGGGTTGTC